TGTACTACTAGAGTACCATGTTTGCAGGGGTACTATGCTTGGAGGGGTGCTTGCCGGGGTACTATGCTTGCAGGGGTGCTTGGAGGGGTACTATGCTTGCAGGGGTGCTATGCTTGCAGGGGTCCCCTGTATAGACTTAGGAGTAGTGGTAGGCAGGTGGTTGAAAGGTGAATGCCACTGAATCATTATGTGTGTCATAGTGAAGTTGTGTGGTGTGTGGTATCTGAGTGCTGGCCATAGACACTGCTGTTACTCGATGGGGGGTTGGAAGTAGATGGGAGGCGCAGTTACTGGCCAATTGCTCGGTCTTTGCGTTAGCTGCCCCCCCACCCTACTCCCTGACCACCGCCAAATAGCGCGGGGGGCAACATTCATCCCCTTACAACGTACGGTCATTATAGCTGTATTTAGTCTGAATGACAGCCCAAATACAGCTATAATGACCGTACGTTGTATTCGGGGGAAGAAGGTAGCTGGGGTCCCCCGTATAGGCTTAGGATTAGTGGTAGGTGGGTAGTGAGAGCACTGAGAGGTGAAATTGAGAGAAGAATATAGCTTAGCTCTTAAATTAAAATTTAGAAAAAAGCAGAAGGAAAAGAGAAGCTATAGCGTTTCCCTCTTTTTTTTTTTTTTTTTTTTTTTCTTCTGTAATCTCCATCTCCAGTGTACCACGCACGCGATGGCCAAGTCCGGATCAAAAGCTCCTCAGCCCATGAGTGGCTGACTTCCAAGCCGCGGCCACGTGGACTCCTCGTGCAACGGGTCCAGGCACACTCCTGGACACTCGTGCTTTGTCGATCCACCGTTACAAGGTAGAAGCACCTTATCGTATGTAGAACTACTACCGTCTTGAACGTCTTCCCCCGAACATAACGCACCCTAAAAATTGATGTATACAAGCTACGTCTCCGGCCCGGTACAGTCAACATGAGGGTGCGTTGTGTTCGGGGGAAGACGGTAGTAGGGAAGCAACTGTACGTACGCAGAACAGTAGAGCTACGTAGTAGGGAAGCAACCAGTTCCAGCCAGGTTCCCCGTCCCGAAAAGTGTGCTTATCATCCTTCTTCAGCGACCGGTGCTGTACGACCAGTTCCAGACAGGTTCCCGGTCCGAAAAAGTGTCCCTATCGCCTTTCCCCAATATAACGCACCGTCATCACGACCGTATCCCACCGGAAAACTGGATTGTTTACCTTCTGTAAGCTTCATACGCATTCATTTATAATCAGGGTGCGTTGTCTTCGGGCGAAGACCGTAACAACCGGCGATCTGCGACCAGCGTGGCTCTCTTCGTCCCTGCTGTACGACTGGTAGTTGTGCTATACGACCGATTGCAGGCAGGCAGGTTTCCTTCCGGTCAGTAAAAGTGGCATGTGCGACCAGCATGGCGCCGCTCTTTCCCACAATCCCACAATCCCACAATTTGGGCCCCGGGACTCGATAATTCTTGTTCTTGGTAAGTTAGCTAAAGCTTGTGGTATTATACGATACGACCGATTTCAGGCAGGTTTCCGGTCTGACCACCGGTCCACCGCCGATTAGGGGAGGGGGGCAACATGCATACCCTTAATTGTGAGACCCTGAGAGGTAGTTATGCTTGCAGGGGGATCCCCCGTATAGGCTTAGGAGTCGTCGTAGGTAGATGGTGAAAGGTGAAATTGAGAGAAGAATATAGCTTAGTTATTGAAAAAAAAAAAAAAAAAATGAAAGAGGAGGAAAAACCTTTTTTTATTTATTTTTTTTAGAACAAAAAAAAAAGTGCGCGAATCAGCCGGCATGTGCGATCAGCATGGCGCTCTTCCCCACTTGGGCGCCAAGACTCGGTCCGTACAAGTGAAAGGTGCGCGAAACAACCGGCATGCGCGACCAGCATGGCGCTCTTCCCCCACTTGGGCGCCAAGACTCGCTCCTCGAAGTTACCTGAAGATTGTTGAAAATTTCGTCGTACTCTTCCCCACTTGGGCCCTCGTCCCACTACTGTACTGGCCATCCGCCAACATTTTGATTGATTGCATGTGGACATCAATCTTGGCAGATGGCGAGTAGTGCAACCACGGCCTTGGGCGCCAAGACTCGATCCTTGAAGTTACCTGAAAATTGTTGGAGCTTCAATAATATGTGATCACAGCGTCAGAGCGAATGCAGTAGCCCGTCGTCATTGCCGCGCTCCGCTCCGCTCCGCTCGGCTCGGCTCGGCTCGAGTCGCTCTGCTGTTGTCGGGCTTTCTCCTGCGCATAGCTTCACGGCCGTTGACACGACCAAGTTTCAACTTTGTTCTTGTTATTATGCTCTTGTGCTCATATGTTATTCTATGCCGATTCTGCCGAAAGAGAGAAGAATTCCGCCTTCTTGTCGTTGTCGAAGATGCGAAAGGGCATCTGTTGATCCCTGGCGTTGCCGGACTTGCTGAAGCTTCAAGCTGTAGCCATAGCTGTTCTGAGATTGTCGCCATAGCTGTCCTGAACTTGTAGCCATTCTGAAATTGTAGCCATAGCTGTTCTGAAATTGTAGCCATAGCTGTTCTGGATTGTAGTTGCAGGCTTGCAGCTTGGATTGGATCACGGACGCGTCTTCTAGCGGGTCTTCTAGCGGGTGTGTGTCGATGGGGCTGGCTTTTGCAGCCGTAGTTGTAAGCCGCAGCGGCCGTGCTAGTATCGATACAATCCTGAACCAACGTGACTTCAAGGCTATTTATGCCTCGGTGGTAAAAAACTGACGCTACGACGTCAATCCTTTCGAAGAGGTGATATGGTTATTTTCGGGAATGGTGAAGAAAGGACAGCGACAAACTTGATTAGTCCGCCGATCAGGAAAGGATAGCCAGAGTGATTAGTCCGCCGATCAGGAAAGGATAGCCAGAGTACGGGTTCCCGATTCGATCAATTAATCGATTGATTGACTAATCGATTGATTGATTAAGTCATTGATTGATTGATTGGAAAAGATCTGCACGAGCTTCCGGGTTCCTTAACAGCCCGACCGAGCGGCCGAGTGCTCGCGGAGGAGAGGACGGGGACGATAATATTGAGCGGTACTGGATCACGGCTTCGGTCGTCTAGAGTATCGGTCCATGTTGACCACGATTGCATGACGGTTTAGAACCCTACAAGGCTTGTTTGGAATCAGGCTTATCAGAAACACATATGTGTGCACACAGACACACAGAGAGAGAGAGAGAGAGAGAGAGAGAGAGATTCCGTCAGGCTCCTTGACTATTGAACGGACTAGCTCGAGGCAGTAAGTGGTTTGTTATCCAACCACCCGAGGAAGTCGTTTCTGATTACGCTCAGCGGTGGGTGTTCTTTGGGTTCAGACTCCGGAGTCTTCGGGCCGAATCGGACGTGCTTCTGGCCGTGCATAGATATAGCAAGAGTGACTCTGAGTGAGTCGATACTGATTCAAAGAATCTCGGAGACGAAGGAGAAGAAGGAGAAGAAGGAGAAGGCGAGGGTAAAGTCGGGTAAAGAACGGAACCCTGAGTGGTTAAGGGGAAGAGAGACGTAGCTGCGCGCTGGCGAGATTTCGGCTGCTCGAAGTCCTGCATGAGGACGGAAAGACGGGCCAGGAGAGGAGAGAGGGATTTGGCTGAATAATCGTTCAGATTCGTTCTGCCCGTGGTCGCCGACTCGTTGGTCTTCATCATCTTGCGGTTACGTTAGCTGCTGCTTTTACGGTCAGCGTGGTCAGCGTGGTTAGCGTGGTCAGCGTGGTCAGCGTGGCGAACTAGAAAGGAAACGAGAAATTCGAGAAGTACCTACACCAGACGTACACCTTGAGGTTGTCGAAAGTTTTCGTGTCTGCTCGGTTTTGCTCGTCGAAGACTCGTTCTAGTAGAAGATTGATACAATTAATATAACTGCTGAGCGAGGGAGCGAGGGAGCGACCGAGCGACAGTGAGTGCTGGTCAAAGTCAACGCGAGAGTTGCTGTTCAACGGACTCATGGTCAACGTGGGTTTGTTTTAGGAATTAATTTTTTCCTCTTGCTGCCTTCTCAGTATCTGGCGGCAGATCAGGTCAGATAGTGTGTGGACTGATTTGATAGATTGCTATCGAGATTCGAGATTCGACACACGGACCGCGAGGCTCGAGCAGCTTGAGCTTCAAGGTTGACGTACACAGAAGTGAGCAGAAGTATGCGCGTTGTGTCTCCGCCAGCAGCAGAACGTTGCCAGTACACGGGAGCGAGATCATAGGAGACGTTTGATCAGTGCGCATTGCGCAGGGCAAAAGGTGCACAAGGTTCTTTTTCTTGCGGGGCCGCGGGGGGGAGGAGGGGGGGGGGGGGGGGAGGAGGAACTTCCGAGGAAGAGTAGTAAGAGAAGAGTGATTGTAATAGTAAGCTGGCGTAGACGGAAATTGTAGAGAAGGTTTTTGAACCACACGTTCCGTCCTTGCCTTTTGTCCGTAACACAGTTCTGTTTTTCATCTTCGCGAAGATGAAAGCTAGAACGCAAAACTAGGATTCAGTTCACATCAGTGACTTCAGACGCAAGTGGAAGACGGAAAGGAAATCAGAACGAGGGTGAAGGGAGAAGAGAGGAGAGTGGGTCGGTAGGTAGGCCAGCCAGAAGAAGAAAAGCCGTTGGTGTTGTCGTCGTCGTTTAATCTGCCGTTGAGTGCGCATTTGAGGAAGTAGCAGTTCGGATGCATCTGTAACTGCAACGCAGGGATATCATTTCGTGTGTTTTTTTTTGGTTATTGTTGAACTTGTTGTTGTGTTTCCACTCCAGGGGGGCGGCGGGGAGGGGCAGGGAACCGACTGCGGAATTCATTTTTAGCTGACTATATAGCTGGCTAGAGTTTAGATAAAAGTAGATCGAGCGCGCAGGTCGTCCACTGGCAAAACTGGAGCAGCAGTCGTTTCTGGGACCTTCTCAGCGAGAGGGAGGAAGAGAGATTCTCCGCGAGAGGGAGGAAGAGAGAGGAAAAAAAGAAAGGGAGGAGGTGAAAAGGTGGGTGGGAGTGTACCATGCCGTTGCTCCGAAGATAAGGCGTAAAAGCCATACAGCCACTCCAGTGTCTGTTTGAACTTCGCAGTGTTCGGTATTATCGGTAAAACATAATATGGCGGGAGGAAGTTTGGACAAGATCCTAACTGCGGGTTTGGATAAGATGTCAAGCAGTTTGGATAAGATGCCGAAAGGAAATGGCGGGAAACAGGCAGATGGCGGGAACGCCAGAAAGGAGGAGGCAGAGAATGTACCTGCCGAAGAATCAACGTGTAAAAGGGGAGAGGAGAAGAAGAGTACAAATGGGGGAGGTGGTGATCCTGCGTCCATTGGCGAGGGCGCTAATGCGTCTCCTAGTAGTACTCGTACCTTTCCTCCGAGCAATGAAGGTCCTGCTATGAAGTCGAGCTCCCTGGGAGAAAGGATGAGCCAGAAGCTGACCAAGCAATTATCGGTGATCGTTCGCGGAGAGGGAGGAGGCGCCATGGACTGGTTTCACAGCTTGAAACAGCCCTTTCTGCCAAGGGCCAGCGAAAAACTCCAAATGGAATCTGGAAACCAAGAACTCCAAGTGGAATCTGGAAAACAAGAGGAGGAACTGCAAACGGAATCAGCTCGCAACGAAGACGAACTGCAAACGGAATCTCGAAACGGAGAGGAAGAGCTGCAAACGGAATCACGGAACGAACAGAGTAAAGATAGGAAGAAATATTTGATTGGATCTTACAATCCAGAAGACGTAGAACTAGTTTTGCAGCCTTTTCCTTGGGGAAAAGGGGAGGAGAAGGATTGCCTAGGGGAGGAACTAGAGGCAGAACCCTCCGTTGGCCAGTCCGTTGGTCAGTCCGTGGGGATAACGATGGTGAACGTGTTCGACAGCGCTGATCTGTCTGTGTTGCCGGAAGCTAACGAAGAGGGATCGGGGGAGGAGGGAATGTGTCTTGCTGACGACGAACTTAACAAAATGGTTGACTGTTTGACGAGCGACGTGAATAACACAAACGGGTCCGAAATCAACAGCGGAAACGTCAGTTTCGGCAATATCGAGAATTTCAAAGAAAAAGATGGCGGGAACGTCGGTGTTGGCAATACCGAGAAAGAAAAGAACGGCGGGAACGTCGGTGTCGGCAATACCGAGAAAGCAGAAAACGGCGGGAATGTCGGTGGCGGGAATGTTGGTGGCGGCAATATCGAGAAAGAGGTAAATGGTACACGAAAGACGGGAGACAAGACCAACGAAAAAGAAATCAACGGCATCAACAGCAGTAGCGGCAACGGGGTGGTGATCCTCCGGGACGGGCTCGGGATTGCAGCTGGCACAGCTGAAGTTACTGAAGAAAGAGCGAGTGCGTTGGTGCTCGTCGGGTCGGGATCGGTAGCCGCGACATCTACGTCAACAAGCCTGGTATCCGTTCTGCCGGGATCGGCAGCAGCAGTCGCAGCAGCTTCCGCGGGAACAAGCATGGTGTCAGCCGGGTCAGGATCGGTAGCAGCAGCAGCAGCAGCAGCAGCGCCTACAGCAGCAAGCGCAAGCGCATCGGTCTTGAAGGGAGCGACAGTTCGGCCGCACCACGTGGCACAACGTCGCAGAGATGAGAAAGGACCAGAAGCAGGAGCATGTGTAGGCGGAAGAGGAGGAGGAGGAGGAGGAGAGAACATTACCGCCGCCGCTGGTTCGACATTCTCTGCCACAGAGGTTTGTACTAGTGCTAAAAATAGCACTCGTGGGAGCAGCAGCAGCACCAGCAGTAACAGTGCTATAACTACCCTGCTTTATCCCTGCGATCGGCAGCATAGGGTACTCTATCCCCCTGCATGTGGATTTAATCCAATCCGCATAAACTGTGGCAAGAGAATAACACCTGCACAAGACAAATCTGTTTCTCAAGATAAAGAATCTTCTTCTTTCTGGGTGTCGTCATCGACAATTAAGGCTCTGTCATCCCCGGCAAATGGCGCAGCAGCAGGAGGAAAAGGTGGGGGGAGTTACCACGCGCTGCCATCCCGACAGAACTCAACTGCAGTTCCGCCTGTGTCAACTCCCATTCCTGGCTCTCACCCTCATTCTTCTCCCTCTTCTTCTTCTTCTTCCGCTTTTACGGCTTCTACGGCTTCTTCGATTTCTCACCCTCATTCTTCTCCCTCTTCTTCTTCTTCTTCCGCTTTTACGGCTTCTACGGCTTCTTCGATTTCTTTGGATTCGAAAGATAAGTCTGATATGGATGGATTGCAGGGGGGAACCAGTTCGTCATCGCGGGAGGAGAGATTAGGAGTGGAGAATAGGAAACAACTGGCTGTTGCTGGATCCCAAAGGGGAGAGAGAACGGGAGTAGAGGATGGCGCTGTAACGGGTGGTGTTGCAGATATGACTCGTAGCAGCCAGGGAGGTATTCTGAAGCAGCACCAATTAGGAGAGGGGGAGGTGAAGAGAAGAGCATTTCCATCGCCGCCGTCGATCTTGACTCCTTCGCCGCCGCCGCCGCCGCAGCCGCTGCTGGGTCAAAGGTTCGAACCCAAACGGGGACAGAAGGGTGGTGGTCCCGGGCTGTTGGGTGGAGGCCGTGGGAATAATGCTCCAGGTGGCTCTCGCATGATGGGAGCAGCTGCAGCAGCAGCAGGGTTGACGTCAACACCTGGACCGCTCTCACCTTGCCCTGCCAGAGGATACGCCGCGGCCGTCGGCCGGTCGCTCGTCCGTCCTCCACCATATCAAGGAAAGGACAAGTTCGACGAAGTTTCCCCATCTTATCCAGGAAGGAACAAGCAGAGTAATTATGACTTGAACGAAGTAACTGTTGAGAATAGGGCGGAGAGAGTAGGCGTAAGGAGGAGCGAGGAGGGCTGTGCCAGTGCTGCTGGTGCTGGTGATGACGCACTTGGCAATGAAACAGGTTTACCTTTGCTGGTGGAGGAAATGGTTCAGGACCTGTGGGAGGAGAACGAGGATCCATCAGTCCCGATCCGAACTGGGGAGGCGGCCGCCAGTCGAGATGAGGATGATCCTACGGTCGTGGCAGCAGCATCATTGGATACAAAGCGAAGTGCGGGAGGAGGAGTAGGGATAACAAGACGCGTGTCAGCCGTAGGAAGCGGCGGTGGGATGAAGAGAATTGGAGGAGAAGGGGGGATTAGAGATGGGGGTGGTGGAGGTGGAGGTGGAACAAGGCAGGCACTTGGCGTCCGGACCCCGGCGGTCTCGTTTGCAGCAGCTGCTGAAGGACAGCGCAGCCTGCGCAGGGATGAGCCGGGATCCCTGTCGCCGCCGTCGGTTACCACACATCAAAGCCACATTCCTTTGCCACTAGGATATCGGAGAGGTCTCCCGGGGATGATTGCTGAGGAGGAGGGAGCAGTAGCAACGCCAGCAGGAGGAGGAGGTGGTGGAGGTGGTGACAGTGCTTCATCGATTGCGGAAGGGGTGCTGGCTATGGCGGGTAGGCCTGGTGGTCACGTGCCATTTCAGCAGATTAGGCAAGCTGGACCACGAGGGGTTTCTGCAGGAGGGGGAGGAGGATTGGGATCATTAGGAGCAGCAGCAGGAGGAGTAGCAGCAGGAGGAGCAGCAGGAGGAGGAGGAGGAGGAGGAGGAGGATATAATGTTGGGACTTCGAGAGCGACTGGTCTGTCTGCGGCCGCCTCTCAATCTTTGACGGTCGTGCCACATCGGCATAGTCCCACTTTCCGCCAAGCCGGTGGACCGGGATCGGGATCAGGCTATCCTGTTGGTAGTGGACTGCACGCTTCTCCTTACCTATCACCATCGCTGCAAGCTTCGCTCACACCCATACTCGGTGGAGGAGGGATGGGCATGGCTGCCATGGCGGCGCAGTTTGGAAGAAGGCCAAGCTCGCCGACCAACACAGTAGAAGTGGCAGAAGCCGCAGCAGCTGGCCCGGCTATGGGCGGGCGCGCCGGGGGGGCATCGACAGGGACAGTCATGACTGGACCTGCGGCGGTATCCCCCAGAGCAGATTCTGGACCTGGTACAGCAGCTGGAGCCTCCATGGCGAAGACCGGCTTGTCTTTGGACACTGTAGGCGGAGCAGCCGATGGTTCCTGCGGTACCGGACCAACTGTTCCCGCTGGCGCTGCCACGGGAAGTGGAATCGGTTCCATCGCTCCCGTGATGCTCATGCCTCAAGGAATTATCTGTCAATCCCCATTGATGCGGGGACAAGCTGGTCATCACGCGCACGCGTCCAGAATGAAGCCCGGAGGAGTAGTGGGAGGAGGAGGAGGAGGTGGTGGTGGAGGTGGCAGTGGTGGCCTGTTCCCTGCTCTGAGTCCCTCTCCCTCTCCCTTAGGAATCTTCGGAGGCTCCGGTGGAGCCATGGGGGGAGTGGGCGGAGGAGGAGGGGGAGGGGATGGCAGTTTACTCGATCTTCAAGAGATGCAGCAAGAACTTCTGTATGGCGCCGCCGGATTTGGACCAATTAGAGGAGCGCCCTCGCCCACCGGCATCACGGCAGAGCAATATGGAAAGTTCCAGCACCAGCTGCAGCAGCAACACCATATGGCTGCGGCGCAGTCGCAGCATCAACTTTTGCAGGCGGCGGCAGCAGCAGCAGCAGCAGCAGCAGCAGGAGGAGGAGGCGGAGGAGGGGCAGGGTTCATTCCCCAAGCCCCTCCTTCGCCGTCCTCATACCAATTGTTTCTGCAACAGCAGCAGCAGCAGCAGCAGCAGCAGCAGGTTGATCGACGGTCAGCGATGAAATTGACAATGGCAGGACCTGGTGGTCCTGTTGCAATCGGAAGGGGTTCAAACTCTGGACCTGGAACAGCTTTCCAACCAGGAACGGGGAACTCTGGACCTGGAGTTGCTGGCCCTGCTGGGCATCTTGGAATCATAAACACCTCAGGTAATGCAGCAGGTTTTAACGGTTCGATGAGCTCGCCATTGGGAGGAGGAGGAGGAGGAGGAGGGGGAGTGATTGGCGGTGGGCGTATGGGACCTCAGAGTCGGGGTCCACATAACGCACTCACGCTCGCTGGTGGAGGTAACGGCATCTCGATGGCCAATCCACTGGGAGGTGGGGTTTCGGCCGCCGGATCCCGAAGTCCCCATCGGACGAATGGTGGACCAGGTTCAGGATCTGGTCCAAGTGGCGGATCCACGGTCATTTCTGGACCTAGGTCTATGATGCTGAGATTGCCCGTGCTGCAAATTCCTGGCGCATACGACCGACATGCGGTTTCAGGTCAAGAGTCGACTTCGAGAGAGTTGACCACCCCGAGCGGGATCGGGACCGGGGACGGAACACCGTCTGCACCTGGTCTGATGCATGTTGGATCCTGTCGTATCTTACCGATGCAGCAGCTGTCCGCTTGTTCGGCAGGAGTGGGAATGGGAGGAGGAGCCGGCGGTGGTGGAGTCCCTGGAGTGGTGATTAGCCCGCCGCTGAGCCCCTCGGACGCAGGAGCAGTTGCTTCCTCTGGCGCGTTGACGGCAACAACTCCGACTACCCCGCAATCGCCCCACAGTTTGTACAAGACGGAGTTATGCAGGTCGTGGGAGGAGACCGGAACGTGCCGCTATGGTGGAAAATGTCAGGTATTCAGCTATCTCTCATCACCATTACCCACATTATCACCTCCCCCTCCTCCTCCTCCTTTTCCTCCCCCGTTCACAATTATTTTCGCGGGAAAACGGGTACATCACGCCCGCCCGAAAACATATTGTTGGGTTGCTTACCCTGAGGGCCCTTTCAGCGGCAACACCCCCCCTGGACACCTTGAGCGTTAACAGCAGCAACAGCCCAACAAGTTTTCTGTCAGGCGTAATTTACCGGTTTCTTTTCTTTATTGTATTTTACTATTTTTTTATCTGGATTCTGGAGTCTGGAGTCTGGACCATTTCACGATTTATGCGTACCGGGTTTTTTTCTCCCCAGAAGAAAAAGGGCGAGAGCCCGAAGATATCATGATTGAGCGGGAATTTGAGCTTGCCCCGGGCTGAGGTGTTTCAGATCGATTTTTTTCTGGTCGTCAACTCATTGCATCTCGATTTGAAGTGGGTCTATGACTCTATGGGCCTCGCTCCACCACTCACTAAATTTGCAAAATGAGAATGAATCCTCCGCTAGAACATGGATAGATGCGCCCCCATAATATTTGTTTTTTGTGCGTGTGGTGAGCCCGTGTTTTTTTTTGTTTTTTTTTTTTTTTGAGCGCATGTGTTTTAGATGTTCACGGTTGAACCAACAGAGCTACCATCGTCCCCCGAACATAACGCATATGCTTTGTATACGAGTTTTCGGGAAAAGATGGATGATTCGAATAGACTGCATATGCGTTGTATTCGAATGAAGAGCTGTATGCGTTGTGATCGATATGACGGATGTTCGAATAGAACGCACATGCGTTGTATTCGAATACAAAGCAGACTGTGCGTTGTACATTCGTTTACAACGCATCTGCGTTATCTTCGGAGGAAGACGGGTAGCCCCGTTGGTGGTTTTCCCTGTTCACGATTTCAGCCTCGGCTGTTTCTACTCTGCATCCTGCTTCACCTTTGGCCCTTTGGCGCCACAGCACTGGCCAAATGTGGAAACAAATGTGAAAACCACAAAGCTACGGAAGATGCATTGTACATTTCACACATTCGGTGATCAATGCGGCTAGGCCATTTTATCTGCCTCCCATCTCTCCCTCCTCATCATTATCATAGTACACTCCCAGAGTACCACTTATGCCGCAATAAGGAATACCCTCTCCTCCTCCTCCTCCTCCTCTTCCTCCCTCGGACTCCCCCGAAGTCCGCTTCCTCGGATTCCTTCTCCTACTACTACTGCTCCTGGGATGGCTTCCTCATCCGTCCGCACATCTACAGTCTAGCCTGATGTAAGGGCCTAAGGCCTCGCTCCATATTACACTCCCAGAGTACCACGTATGCTGCAATAAGGAATTCCCTCTCCTTCTCCTCCTCCTCCTCCTCCCTCGGAGTCCTCTTCCACGGATTCGTTCTCCTAGTACTACAGTACTACTGCTCCTGGGATAGCCCAGATGGTTTCCTGATCCCTCCGCACATCTAGCCTGATCTACGGTCTCGCTCCATGACTCACCAAGTGTGCAAAATCCGAGTTAAACTTTGTGGACTGGTAGTCAACTGTCGCCAGCTTTTTTTTTTCTTTTTTTTTTCAATCTACGTACGTCAGGAACGAAGGAAAGACGTTAGCAATGCCTTGGCCCCACTAGCGGGAGTTTTTTTTTTAATGTGGCCCGATGGACCACGAATGAGATATTGAACTGATCAGAAGATTCAGAACAGATACCGTTACGGCGCTTGATCTATTTTTTAAGCCAAAAGGCCGAGAAAAGGTATAATACTAGCGGGGAGTTCTTTTTTTTTTTTTTTTTTTTTTTTTTGTAATAGCGGGGAGTTCAGTTGCTCCTTCAACGAGTATTTTTCAACGTGGCCAATGTGGGCGTTAGGTGCTCAGATCGGATAGCACGAACTGGTACGTACTGAAGTACAAGTCTAAGCTCCTGGGGCCTGGTCCCATTAGCATAAAAGATTGAATTTAAATTATGAATCTGGATGATTTTTCAGCAGACATGCAGAAACGCAGATCAATTGCAACTTTCTCCTCTCTCCACAAACACGTCTAGATACCGGAATTAAATCCAATCCTCTTTGCTGATGGGACCAGGCTCCTGGTTAGTGGAACTTTGCCCCAGCTTACCGCCGTGGATGCCTTGATGAACCTGTCTTTTTTTTTTTTTTTTTTTTTTTTTTGGCCCCTGGTTAGCGCCTTGGACATCCAGTTTTTTTTTTTTTTTTTTTTTTTTCCTTGAACTTGTCAAATTTTGAGTCGGGCATGTGATGGCAGGAATTGGTACGTACTCGAAATACAACTCTGAGCCCGCGCTAGTGGGACTTGGCCTCAGGTCAGCACCTTGGATGCCTTAAAGAACCCGTCTTTTTTTTTTTTTTTCCCTTGACATGTCAAATTTTGAGTAGGGCATGTGCAGGTGATTTTTGTTTTTTCTTTTTTTGAGAAGTTGTCGCTTTATATTTCAAAACAACATATAACTGACGCGGACATTAGTATTTTTCTTTCGCTACTCATAAATCCGACTTTCTGTACTGGCAATTAAGTTGTCGCTAAAAGTCCTAAAACCATTATTTTTAATGTTCCTGCCCATTAAAATAGTATTTAACGGAGTCTCACCTAACTAGGCTAGCAGAGTGGCCCGGGACCAGTTGCCTGGCCGGCCCAAGACATATATGTATATATCGTCAAATAGTATATATGTATATATGTATATATGTATATATGTTTGAAGATAACACGTGGGCGGCCTTGTGCGCAAGAGGTACTGAACAGGGGGAGTTGTAAGTAGGAAGATAAAAAGTATTAAAAACGAATTGATTTTTTTTTCTTGTTTTTTTTCTGTCTTTTTCGCGTTTGCGATTTGATATCTCTGTGACGAGAAATAGATTTATATATATTGTCACAGCCCCTCGTTTGTTGATCTCTTCTCCCTCTCTGCTAACGGTTTACCGGGGAGTTGTGTTTGACGGTATATATATATATACCTTCACCACTTTTTTTTGCAGGCAAGATGTTTTGATATCCTGTTTGGTCTTGTCCCGTCGTTTGGCCTGTGACGGGGGGGCGGTGCTTGCATGTGGGAATTGTCATCTAGGATTTGTTTCTCCCTGTTTTGTTGTGTATGGCTGTTTGGCTGTGTGCAAGTGGGTCGATATGACACACGGGGGTGGGGTCAGCCGCCGCTCAACCTATTTTCTTGTTTTTTTCGCTTTTGCGCTCTGACATCTTTGTGACACTATATATAAATAGTTTTTATCACAGCCACCCCCCTCGTTTGTTGTCCTCTTCTCCCTCTCTGCCTACGGTTTGCCGGGCAGCTCTGTCTGACGATATATATTCTGTTTGCTTTTCTACGACTTCACGTATTGTGGCTGGAGTTATGCCCTTCGCTTACTAACTTGAATCTGGTCTGCTTGGCAAGGACATCAGTAGTATGAGGAGAGGCGAATCAGGCGATCTACAGTCTTCCCCCGAATACAACGTACGGTAGCCGAATTTGGGTTATCATTCAGTCTAAATACAGCTATAATGACTGTACGTTGTATTCGGGGGAAGAAGGTAGATAGCCCCAAGCAGGTCGGAATTTGGTGTATCCGGAAATAGAACGATCTCATCATGGATGTTGTCCCAAGTACGTGGCCGTGGGGAACTATGTCAGTGTAAGGTCGTCGATGTGCTTAATCTTCATAGATTGATCATTGATGCATGATACACGCGTACGTGACGAGTATGGTCAATCGAGTATAGTCAATTGACAAGAGGATATCCTAGTACGTGAATATCGCAGTTCTACCGCCAACACCAACCGTGCTGGTCCGTGCATGGTCTATTCACTCTCTCTCTGACACACACGCACACACACAAAGTCCGACGAAACAGCCTGTTCGGCACAGTCATGCTTGTTTTGAGTGTAAAGCGAATATTACAACACACACACACACACACACACACACGCACACACACACACACGCGCGCGCGCACGCACCCAGGCTACCAGAGTGGCCCGGGTCCACTTGCCCAGCCGGACCAAAATTAAGTAAAAAAAATAACAGAATATAATTTTTTTTTAATTTAAATGTTTATTAAACTTATTTTAAATTTTTATTTTAAATTTGATAAAGAATTTCGATGCGACCCTGAGGCAATAGTTGCTCAGTTTTTTTTTTTGCATAACATAGGTTGTTTTCGGATTTTTTGGATTTGTTTTTTTTTTTTTTTTTTTGGCTGGGACCTTCCCTACTCTTTGCACGACCGGGCGGCCCGGCTGGTACCCTAGTCACGCACACATTTCTTTCATTTAGGGACACGCCGGGGGCTACAGTCTTCCCCCCAATACAACGTATGTTCGTTATAGCTGAATTTGGGGTATCTTTCAGTCTAAATACAGCTATAATGACCGTACGTTGTATTCGGGGGAAGAAGGTAGGTCCCACTTGCGCGAATTATGCGATATTGACCGTCGATAGCGAAGATCAACGGCCGAAATCTCCTAATCCGTGCAAGTGGGACCTTGCACAGGTACTTTCTTTTTTTGCCTTTCAGTACAATTTCAAGTAACTGCATGCTCTATTTCCCGTACTCA